TCAAATCTTGCTTCTATAAATACCAGATTGTTTTACGTTGTAGCGACTGAAGAGATTAAAAGAAATGTTAACATCTCGCAGTATTTGTCTTCTTTCGGTTCTAACGAATTGGATAAAGGGGACCCAATGTTTCACGTTTACAACAACGCTTGAATGTGGAATATTCCAATTATTTGCACAATTTCGTTCATTCAAGAAACGATCACAGATTGAACTCCTTCAGGACAGCGTTGAACCAACCGATACCTTAGTGTAGATTTATGAACCAGCCTCAGAAGTGTTTCCATACGCTATTCAGTGCGAATGTAAACCGTCAGGCCCCCAGTTGTTTTGAAAAACGAAATTATAATCAGTTCATTGAGATATACAGGAGGTATTGTAAGACGAACTCAGATTTGTCTCAGAATAAATGATTACCGAGCCGGTTTCATTCAGTTAAATATAATGGGACAAACACGGAACTTACCTAGATAAAATACAGAAAAGAATGACTTTCTCAATAGTCTTTCTTTCATTGATGAGGTTGCAGCAGTAACTCTCATACCAAGACTGCAGGGAGCAGTGAAACTCACGTTCAGCGCCTCGCACTGGCGCTGCTCCTTCAAAGGCTTGCCACTAATAACCGTACAAAATAAGTATAAACGAACGATGTCAACCGCTTCAATAATTTTTACGCGTTCAGACGCGTTTATGACGCAATCTGTGTGGGTCGCATTATTATTTATCAGCATGAAAAAACTTTATATGCCCTGGTTGCGCTAAAGCGGTTTCAAAACCAAGTCAAATGCGATTCCCACTTATTTGGTAGACACTGGCTAGTATTCTAATCCCAGTGAGGTATTCAATGTTATTCATTATGTTTCCGTATACAGCCTAAGAACCTTAGCACGCACGGCCTTAGCTATAACCTAAGACACGTATTATAAAATTGACCAATGAACAATGCGTTACTTCGCACAATAGCTCCAATCCCGCGGAAATGTCACATGACCCGCATCTCGCAACCAAGGGGTTCAAATTGGCGCCCACTTACATCACTACTTTTCTATAATTCTCCAAGTCCCGCACATAATCAATGGAAGGGACCGAAAACTCCGCGTCTGAGAGATTAACCACTGAACCCATGTTATTCATATTTCCATTTTTGTATCTGTTTTTTTGATGGTCTGTACTAACAGATCCTACCTTTCCTTCGCGCAGTACATTGAGCCAACGTGAATTCGCTAGCGTCTCATGTGCTGACTGTGTGACTCTGCCGTCATCAGAGATTATTTGAAAAAGGCTCATCATCAAGTGGTCGTCAGGTCTCTATTTCAGGATTTCAAGAATGTAAAGAATGTAAATCACAGCTTGCACACAAACACATAATGATCCATTCCGCAAGTCAAGTTAGGTCAAGAAATGCTTTATGCACCCAAAGATTGAATTTTCAGCAATTTGTCATTTTACAGCGGATAGATAAGACCAATTGTAAACAAAAAAGACAATATAAGAAATTTCACACTTTAGCAAATGAGAGAAAAAATTAGTGCAAGAGATTTTCCCTGAGGTGGGTGCGAAACAGTTTGACGATTAACCCATAACCGAGAAAGTTACGGAATTATACTGTTTCTATATGTGGAAGTACGCACAGGAAGAAGTTGATATTTGGAGCGAGTTCGGGAATTCGACAGAGCTTCTGCGATATCTTGGTGCAAACAGTCTATTTGATCACGCTTTATCCTGTGAATAAAAATATCACAAGCGTCAAGATGCTTGGAAACACAGAACTCAACTAGAACAACTCTATCAACTCCACTGTAGCGGGACAAAAGTTTAGCGGATCTCGAAACTTAAGCAGTCTTATCCTTTCAGTCCAGGGATAAAAATCGAGGAGCAGTATAGCCAGTGTGGAAGAATGCAGGCAATCACAAATTTAAGAGTAGGATTCTGTGGTACGGACAGTTTTCTGAACCTGTGAGCATAGAAAGACAGTTTTCGAACTTCTGCGAAAACGTTGATGATATGAGCAGACCAGGACAGGTTATGGGTAAGGGTGACACCAAAGTATTTAACAGATACAGATTTGGGAATGCTTTGATTATTAATTCTAAGATCAGTGAGATTATCAGCCGATGAAAGATAACGGGGACCGGTTTAAAGACTAAATGGAACTTCAATGCACTTACTAATGTTGAGTACAACAGATCGGTTTACAGACCAATCTTGAAGTTCAGTAAGACCGTCCTAGAGAGGTCGAAAACTGTCTGAAATAGGGGCTGGGCAACCAATCACAATATCATCAGCACACTTACAGACAATAAAGTTGGTGGGTATGGGCAGATTTTGTATATACATGGAAAACAAGAAAGGGGGCAAAATAGCACCCTGAAAAACACCGGCTTGAATGTTAATGGAAGAAGACTGTACATCATTGAGTGAAGTAAACTGAGTCCTACGAGAGAGGTAGTTGATTAATACATTCAAGAGTTCAGGAGTTAGACCACACTCAGAAAGACGATCAATAATCAGTCTTCGGTCGAGAGAACCAAAAGCGTTTGTATAGTCAAGAAAAGTTAAGCGAGTGGTACCAGCGCCATTGTCCAAGACGGAAGCAACAGAATGAACAATGTGAGCAACGGGGTCGTTCCAGATGACAAACAAGTACTGATTAATTCGGCAATGGGTGTCGCAAGCTGGTTGGCGCAGGCTTTCAACAAATGAGGTGCTAATTCATCGGAACCATGAGCTTTATTGGCCTTGAGTCTCCTCAAAACTTGGCGGACCTCATCCGGAGAAACAGGGTTTATTGCATCATGGGTAGGGAAAGGAGGTGTGAGGGAGCTAGATGCAGGTACAGAGGCAAATTGACGGTTAAGTACCTCAACGTTGGGACAAGAACTGGTGCATGAGCCACAGAGTTTCCGCAAAGAAGTCCACATCTCCCGAAAGTTTGTGTTACCCAAAACAGTCTCGACGTGCATTTCGTTCAGGCGTCGTCCTTCTGCTCTAATCAGAACAGAGAGATCTTTGACACTGTTACGCCTACCGGCCACATATGGCGTCTCTTTAGCAGGACGAAGTCGCATAAGAAGGGGAGAGGGAAACCTATCGATTCGAATATAAATAATTTCAACAGGACAGCATTTGTCGTAGCAGAAATTAAGATAATCGGTAAGGTGTTCACAAGGAGAAGACAGCTGGTTATGGAAGAACACAGAAAAGTCAGGAGAAGAAACTAAGTCCGGCAGTCGGGACAAGTTCTCAGGAGAACAATTTCTCTTCCGTAGAGTACGAAAGGTAGGTCGTGTATGAAGACAGTGAGCTACGAGAACCGATTTTCAATATTTTGTCAACAGTGATTGGTTTTACAGAGAAGTGCTTATTGGGGCTCGTTTAAAAATGTGAAACATATTGGGACTATTTTTAAAAAATATCTTTTTACTTCCTTTTTCTATTAATTCATTATACAAATGTACAGCCAACTTTCAAGAAGGGGACTGCGGCCATACAAAGGCTGCCTGGGGAAAATACAGATATAAGGAAGACGGGCGGTTTGAACGCGGGACACCAGTTGGTGACCTAACTACTTGGCCACCACCGCCCATAATTGCCATCAAGAAAGGCATTGGTACGGGTTGGAACATTGACAAGGTTCTCTAAGCCTAGAGTGGTTAGAAAGGAGGTATCAAATCAATTAAAGTCACCAGCGGTAGTGCATAAAGACTGGTCAATACAACTGGTGAATTGTGTTACTACAGTATCAGAATATAGTCGGGCGAGTGTATCAGGGGCAATATAAATATTTACAAAGTAAATGAAGCGAAATCTGCTGAGAAAGCGGGTCTTTCAGCAAACAAAAGTACAGTTTATTTTACTGGAGTAGGAAAAAATCAAACTAGTGTTCTTGCACTAACTTCGATTTACGAAAGTAACCACTGCGCCACCTCTGTTGCGAAATTTCACAATCCGATCACTCCTGAAAATATCAAGAGTCTGAGGAATGACCGCGAGAAGTGGTGGGTAGGAAAGCGTAAAGAGATGGAGATGGCTACGGTTATCGGTAAAAGTCGCATTCTTTTCCGGCTAATCAGGTGTACAGGTCCAAAGAAAGTAGGCGTAAGTGAGGTAATTAAGGAGTGTGACGGCACATCGATTCTTATCCAGTAACGCTATCTTGACCGATGGGCAGAACATTTCAAGGTTTAGCTGTCCCTCGTTGACACAGAACCTACCTATGCCTGTTTTAAATGGGCAAATGACATCCCTCCTCCATCTGAAACGAAGGCTACCCGGGAACTAAATTATCTCAAATGGTACTAGGCCTTCGGCCCAGATAGGCTGTTCCGATCAGCGTTCAAGGATAGAGGTTCAGCGTTGGTCTTGGAGTTAACGAAACTCCTGGGCTCAGTGTGGGAAATGAAACAGGTTCCAATGGAATGGTGTGAATCGGTGGTCATACCGATTTACAAAATTGCGACAAGTCCTCTTGTGAAAACCACAGAGGAATTAGTTTAACCAACACCCTCTCTCAACTTATCGCTGGTATTATGCTCCTTCGGTCATCTGTCGCACGCGAACGTTACACGCGTGAGAACCAGGCTAGTTTTAGACTTGATCGAGTTTGTATAGTTCATATCTTCACTGTTCGTCAAGTTCTAGAACACATACACTCCATTCGTAGACTCAGCACTTAGGTCTTCCTCGATCTGAAATCGGCTTCTGACTCAGTTGACCGCTCCAAACTCTGGCACTGCCTCGCTCTAAAGGGTGTGCCTGAGAAGTTTATTTCTGTCTTACATTCCGTTTATACTAATAACCGAAGCTGAGTCCGAGCTTACGGCACTTTTTCGCCCGAGTTAACTACAGAAGGTGGTGTTCGACAGGGTTTCCCTTTTTCTCCCTTTCCATTTCACTTTGTCATAGGTTTAATTCTTGAAACAGCCCTATCTTCGTGCGAGGATGGTAGTATCGATATACTCCCATTGGACAGACTGTCTGGTCTGGAGTATGCAAATGAAACTGTGCCACTAAGTGAAAATCCAGGTGGATTGCAAACTTTTCTGAATAGTTTGATTGCTAGTCTAGTCTCTTTCGGTATGCGTTTTGCAGTGTGAATTGCTACTATATCATGGAATTATCCCGGCTCCAAATCTCACTCTAACTGGGGCATTAGTAGAGGAAATAGATAAATTTTGCCATTTGGGTAGCTATATCTCACCTGACGACCGTGTTACACATGAAGTACCGGTTCACATTAAGAAAGCTCGATTGACATTTGCCAACTTGCGACATCTGTGGCGCCGTCGCGACATCCGGCTGTCCGTGAAGGGTCGAGTGTATACTGCTGCAGTTAGACCGGTGATGCTATGCGGTGCAGAGACTTAGCCATTACGGGTAGAAGACAAAAAATAGCTTGTTGGGATTTGAACACCGCCTTCTACACCACATTGCACGAGTCCGGTGGAGAAACCGAACAAGCAATGCGGAGGTAAAGTGTAGAGTTTTAGGTAGTCGCGGTCGTTCACTGGAGCAGGTGGTCAACCTTCATTGATTACGCTGGTTGGGTCATGAGCTACGCATATCACCAAATAGGTTGCCACGGCGAGCGATGTTTGCCGAGGCAGGAAGCGGTTGAAAAAAGGTCAAGGGTGGTCAAGTTAAAACCTTACATGAGTATATGGAAACCCTTACGAAGACCATGGGTCACATAGGTCCCGTTAGGCTCCTTGTCTGGGGACTCGGAGATCATTGTCACACTGGGTGCCGCAAACAGTGACGGTCATACATCTACTCATTATTCTTGCAACCACAGTCCATAGACTCTCTATCTTCCCCTTGAATTGATCCTCAACATTCCACTCTTCATTTTATTCTTTTATCCAAATTGGAGACCAAAAGACAGCGGCCCAAACCGGCGCACGAAAGTGCATAGGTAATGGTTGTAGAGACTGGAATTAAAACATGTTGATGTGTTCGATTCCATTTGACTCATCGTGTTAGGGCTTTCATCTTATTGATCCCTCGAGCTCCGTTACCTCTTAGCCACAAGCTTGAACAATGAGAGAGAGCATGACTCGATCGTGCTGGCAGGCTGCGTTACTCACTTATCAGTTCTTCAGACAAGAAGATACAACGCGACCAAATAAGGACGAACAAGACGGTGGCGCATTAACAAGCTGGTTTTGATCGGTTGGGTCGTTGTGAATGATAGATTCAATTCGCTTCCAATCAGGTTCTCTCAGTGGGTCGTACAACGTCCCGGCCGGCCGCATGACGTACTGGCGTTCGTTTGTCGACTGTTCACACGTTCCGTGGTCGATACAGTCAATGTTTTTCATGCGGCAAGTTCAATTATTTGAATCAACTTCTTCATTAAAGCAAACTCGGATTTCGGAAGCCAATCTATGTCGCTTTATGACCATTCGAATTACACAGTTGTATTCTACGGCTGTTACGATGTACATACATCTTTGCACTCCACACTTCTTCATACCATCAGTAGCTTTCTAATCACTTGAATTGAACTGTCCTTTCTGACACACACACTGCATTGATGAATCAAAACATCTATCTACAGATACAAGATACTATCCCGTTGGTGTTGTTACTGTTGCTGCTGCTGCTGTTTTTGTTACCTCGCAAGACTGTCCGCCTTCCTGAACGCTTCAGCTAATCAATATGGAGTGAACGATTACTCTGCCGGTGCTTTTTACCGTCACACAGTTATCCATGCATTTGATGTTCGGGTACACATGTATACGCCAATGCACTGGATCAAAATCAATCGCTCAGTCTATTCCACCAATTCTGACAGCACTCCGTGGTTTAGTTGTGTGCGGTCTTGCTTATGGGAACAGCTGAACTCACTCTACTTCGCAAGCCAGTTTGCACAGTTTTGCTCACTTGTCCATCCTATTCGCTTCCGACAGATGGGTGTGTGTGATAGATAGAGACTGTGTCTTAGCGGGGTAGGGTGGTGGTAGCGAGCGTGCAAGCCAAGCCAAGCCATCATTTTTTCATCTGTAGTCCCGAACTAGCATTCCACTGATCTGAACGACATCGACCTCTCGAGGTGCATATTTTTCTGGAAAAAGTCACATGTTTTTGGTGCGTTTCAATCTGTGCAAAACAGGCACTTTTTATTCTGTCATTGTTGGACCTACCAGCCACACAATAGAGGGGGTTCGGATTTGCCGTACATTCACCTATCATCCTTTTCACCAAGTACACGACAAACAATGGTGAAATAATGTGCCTCATGAAATATTTGCTCGCTGGGTAGCAAAACTACCATTCTGGAGGTTTAGTTGTGCAATTTATTCTAATATACATCAGCATTTAGACCTTGTTGACAAGCCATTCTGTGGCATGGGCACTAAACTCTCTTGGACTCCAGTAACTAATGAGATTGCAGTCAATCAGTACACAAAGCGTGAGTACGCTCATATTATTGTCTTCCGAATAGGTTAGACACACATTCGTTACTTGGTCTCTATGTAACGGCTTTCTTCCAACTGATAGCTAAAATGTTAACAAACTAGGAAATAGATTTGTGTGAACCTGATTGGTATACCATCTTGAAACCAATCACCGAAAGGTAAGTAAAATTAGTGAGTACCTAGGTAGGTATTTAGACATAACGTGCACCGTAACCTTGCATGATCGTATTCGTCAAATCAGCTCAAATATGTGTGCCGTAATTACTGTTCATGAACGTTCTGAATAAGTGACGACAGTGAGGAAGTTAACTGATTCAACAATTTGAACACGTCCAAGAGCAACAATAAATGTATAAGTGCTAATCACACGAGATCCATAGATGGAACGGATCTCACTGAAAAACTTGGGCATCGTGCTCATGTTTATTGAGGAAATCAGCTTGTCTTAGCCACGACGAATGAGAACCAAAACAATGGCACTGATGACAACGTTTCGACCCTCTTGAAAAGCCTTTTTCAAGTCGGTTAATCGCACGTTACAAGCAATTATAAGGCGATGGGATGATGACATCGTATAGATGTGATTCGAACATATATATATATATATATGTGTGTGTGTGTGTGGTGATCGTTCAATTTTATTGTCTAGACTGTCCTGTTACGTATGTCGACCAAACGTCCAGAAGCCTAAACAAACGAATGACTGAACACATACGTCTAACGAAAAAGATTCCAAATGATACAGTTGGTTGGAATCGAGTGGAACACAATTCCCCAATCGCTGGTCACGCAATGCGCGAAGGACATCCAGTTTATTTCAAAAACCCGCGCATTGCCGTAGGTTCACTACGGCAATCCATCGATCCGATGAGGCAGTCAT